GATATTTACCTCTCTTTTTCCACTATTTTACTTCTTACTCATTACTTAGGTCTTGTTCGCGATTCCTCATTTCCGTGTCCACTTGGCCAACCGTCTTCCATACTACATTGATCAGGCCTTGGTCGGGCTCACAGCCTACCCACCCAATCTGCCTGTTTGTCAGTTTCTACTGCAATTAGCCAAACTTGGTCATGCACTTACCTCCGGACTTCACTCGTGGCGCCCACTTACTGCTGAGGAAATTGAGGCGGCCGAAAAGGTTGACGGTGCCTCCGTGCCTAGAAATCCAGGTTGGCTTCTATTAATTTGGATAATTGATTTAGAAATACTATTTTGTAGCAATCCTTACTAACCGAAAGTATGAAGACAAAGATGGTGTAGCTTTTTCTGGGGTAGCGGTCTCATTTCGTTGTATAGGGGTTGTTTGACCTTGCTTTCGCAACTTTGTCATATTGGTAGGAAGACTTAGCGGAATGCATCTTGTCCGGAGTCCATTGTATGCATACTCATTTCCAAAGTCGGACGGTGGACGTAGTATATTCCCAGACGTTTCTCCAGCATTGTAGTCGACATCGTCAGTGAGTTTTGCCATTCAAAGCACCATATTACAATTAGTTAAAGAGACAAGTGAAGCCGATTCTTTGAGCAAACGTGTGCTAAAAAGTTATGGTATATCACCTGCCCTGGCCTTTCACATTTCCTATATCCTGCTATTACGCCTTCATTGTCAGAATTGTTTACTTGCTTAATTAGATGTGGTACGGTGTGCCATTTTGAGCGGCTGTCATGACAGCACTCCACACTGGCCTTCTCACCCCCATTTATCCTTGTGCTGGGAATGTTGATCAGAGTCTGCCATATTTTTACGCCGTCCTCCTTCCCTTGGTCTTACAACAGTCTATCCATTGCCTCGTAAGATCTGTCTGCCCTCTCCCTGGTTAACATTTTTCACTCGACCCCTGCCACCCCACCTGTGCCACTCGAGGCGTTATTCGCCCTCCCCTGCGTTTGGGTGACTAATTCGAGACTAAAGCCTGTGAGTAAGTCTCATGGTCACGCTTTTGCCACATGGACCATTTCTCTTATACAACCTACTGTCAGCCGACTAGCTCCAATCGCCGCCGCGTCTATCCTGTTTCTATCCCTTATACCATGTCTATCACTTATGTCCTAGTCTCTTGTGTGCCAACACACAAGCGTCGTGGTTCAACATTGAACCTATTTAAAGCAAGCAGTACCACAACATTTGTGGGTTTCCAAACAAGAGATTAGGGCATAAGAAGGGATAGAAACAGAATAGACGCGGCGGCGATTGGAGCTAGTTAGCTGATAGTAGGTTGTATAAGAGACATGGTCCATGTGGCAAAAGCGTGACCATGAGACTTACTCAGAGGCTTTAGTCTCGAATTAGTCACCCAGACACAGGGGAGGGCGAATAACGCCTCGAGTGGCACAGATGGGGTGGCAGGCGTCGAGTAAATATGTGAACAAGGGACAGGACAGACGGATTTTACGGGGCAAGAGAGAGACTGTAGTACGACCTAGGGAAGGAGGATTGCGTTACAATATGGCAGACTCTAATCCACATTCCCAGCACAAGGATGAAGGTGGGTGAGAAGGCCAGCGTGGAGTGCTGAGGGTTCTCATGAAAGCCGCTCAAAAGGGCACACCGTACCACATCAAATTAAGCAAGTAAAAAATGGTGAAATTGAAGGCGTGATAGGAGGATATAGAAAATGTGAAAGGCCCGGGCAGAAGGAGAGATACCGTAACTGTTTAGCCCACGTTTGGTCAAAAGATCGGCTTTACTTTTCTCTTTGACTTGTTGTAATACGGTGCTAAGAATGGCAAAACTCACTGACAATGCCGGCGAAACGTCTGGGAATCTACTACGTCCACGGTCCGACTTTGTAAATGATTATGAATACAATGGGCTCCGAACAAGGTGCGTTCCTCTAACCCTTCCTACCAATATGACATAGTTGTTAAAATATGGTCAAACAACTTCAATCCTTACTAACCTGTATATTTAGCATGCATTTGGTGTACATTGTAAGTTAGTAGAGTCATTTTTAATACACAAAATAGGCCCAAATGATTGTCGAAAAATGATAAGTATCATTATTTATTTGCGGCATGACTTTCCATTTCGAAAAAAAAGTTGGTTGAAAGGAATTCATGAAATAGTGAAGGAGGATCACCGCAGAGTAGATTGTACGAATAACTCTTCGGCTCAGCTTCCCGCGACACTGATAAACCTGTGCCAAGCTTTCGCATGTACTGGAACAGACAGCATCAGAGTAGCAATCCATAATTTACGAAATAAAGTAAAAAATGCACTAAAAAAAAGTGGAAAGGTGGCCGATTGCAACCCTAGCCACATTTTTATACACTTTCGATCTTAAGGAGGCATCCCATGATCTGATTGGTTGACTGAAACTTACTCTACATGCAGATGCTTAAACTTAATTCATGAACCTGAAGTGGCTTCGTTGGCAGCTGCTTCCTTAAATATATAACATAGAGTATGATCCTTTAATGTGAATCATGCTTTGCTTTGTGATATTGCCTATTGTGTTTATGTAATGTTCATTACATGAGAGGTGTAATAGCTTACGCTAGACTCGAAGCTAATCCATTCCCCTCTTGTTCAGTGGTTCTTTCTGTTTTCCCTCTCCTTAACCTCTCCAACATCCATAAATAGTTCCTACTCAATCTTCTGCACTCGTTCCTTCTATTCAGATTTTTTGCTGTTTTGTTAATTTTTATAAACTATCTAATCTTACGCTTTGATTCGAAGTTCCTCTCATCCATCTAAAATTTGTGTTTAGTATGAGCCTATTGAATGTCCAGCGAGCTCAGTCTTTTGGATCGATA